TTACTCTAACTTGCCTAATTAACCTAATTAAGCCTTTAAATTGTCTTTAAGCTGAATACTAGTACCTTGAAAATATCCATAAAATTTGATGTACTTTTAACATAGCAAAGATAAAAGAAATCTAACTTCTTTCCATTAAACTAAAATCAGGGAAAAATATACATGAGGGCTGATAATTCATGGGGGCTTATAATTCTGATTTCAACTGTATATTAGAGCTAGATGGAATATATTCACACTGTAAAAAATTTGACCTTAAATTCACAGTAAATTACTGGCTAATAATTGCATTACTTTCACAGTAAATTACTGTATGTAAATTCACAGTAAATTATTGTGAGGTAGTTCACAGTAATTTACTGTGGTTTTGTCACATTAAATTATTGTGAAATTACAACCATATATTGTAACTTTACAGTAGATAATAAAGTCTGTTACTGTGATTTCACAGTATTATCTTGTAGAATTAACTATATTTTACTGTGAATTTGCAAAATGATTACTGTGATTTAGCAGTAGGTTGCAGTTTAAATACCTGATTTAACTGTAAAGTTACAGTCATACTGTAATTTAACAGTGTGGATTACTGTGATTTAACAGTGTGGTGCTGTAAAATTTCAAAGCAATTTTAGGTCACACAAAAATGAAAATTCTATCTTGATTTACTCACCCTCAGGTTGTTCCAGCTCTGTTAAAAATGATTTTTTTTGTTAAACACAGGAATAAAAATATCAAATATTCCACTTTGTGTCCAAACAACCTGAGGATGCGTAAATGACGACAGAATCTTCATTTTTGGGTGATCTGAGAAGACTCTAAAATCAAAATAAAAACAAACACATAAACATTTTACAGATTTATTTAACAGCTCAATGACATCTGTGTAAACATTTCAGAAAACTTTCAAAAGGTAAAGGTGAAGCCTCAAAAAATACTATAAGAACATATTAATAAAAAAATCTGACATTCTATGTAGCATACATATAAAAAGAAGTGCTTCAGAGTGCGCTCTCTCTCTCATTATATGATATACACATCATATTATATGATATACATATCATTATATATATATATATATATACACATGAGAGAGAGAGAGAGAGAGAAAACATTTAGCTAAATTAGGCAGTCGTCTATTCAAGGTCAATCATTTTCCTGATTATTTTACACACTTGCTGGTAATGTGTCTTCTCTGCTTCTTTGACTTCGTCTGTCTTCGATCTCCAAACTGGAGCCCAAAAAGCACCTATAAGCAAAAGGGCAGACAAACAGTTAGCTTTATACAACACTACTGGGACACTACAGAGCAAAATTACTTATAGCTCAGTTTAAACATGCTGACAATACTGTAGCTAAGTCAAACTGCAATCATTTAAACAAAAACATCTGAAAAACATTTCCATCACAAACACACAATCAAGAACAGTCCAACAACAAATAGTGGTTTTAATGACCTAGGCAGAGCATTTTAAAACAGTTGATTTGATTTACACCTTCTGTTTACAGACTATAATCTAATGCTGGGTTCACACTTATTGCAAAGTTAACACATGCATCACAGTACTTGCTCTTGAATACTAGCAGGATGTTTCTTGCATCAAGCTAATTTTTCATGATTTAATATTAGGAAAATTTTGCAAAAAAAACTTGATTGAAGTGATACAGCACTTGTGTTGTATTTATTTCAATCAAGTTTTTTGTAAAAATTCCAAATATTTTTCAACGTTTTGAGTTTCACTTAATTTGTGCTGCCCAGTAAAAATTTCCCACTATTTATGTATTTGCAATGACTTGTATGTAATCCACTCACCTGAATAGGTAACTTCACATATGGTATAAGAGCCCCATCCTTTTGAAGACAGCTTCCCTTCTGGTCTCCAGCATAGACAAACAAATTGAGTCTGCAACACGGCCCTTTATAACAAGGGGACAAGGGGAGTCATGACTTGTGCTCCTATACATTCCTTGTTTAACCCCCCGAAAACAAGCCCTCAGTTACAATATTTATTGTAGACATTACCTTAAATTCCAGAGTGCAAAAGGCATCTTCAGCATACTTCAGTTTCAGACCAGATCCAAAGTCAGTTGTGAAATCCAGGTGAGGTCCCATGACCACTCGACCCTCCAAGGAATAAGACTAAAAGGGGGAAAGAAGGACTAAATTAGAGGTGTTTGTGAATAATTAAATTTGTTTGTAGAAACAAAGTTGACATTCCATGCTCTGCCTATTAAAAACCAAGCAAACAAACACACATGCCCAGTAAAATTGCTAATAAAAATAAATACTATAGTTTAAAAAAATCTTTGTCTAATATTTACTACTACTGGAGGTACTGGTGGAACTTCTGGAAGAAGAAAAAGAGTTTGTACAAGAAACTGCTCACAACAAATCTGTGAAAAACCTGACATTTAAAAATCTAATAAAAATGAGGAAGGCATCAACATTACCTTTAATAATCAAGCGAGGGGTGATTGGTAGCATCAGTGTTTCAACATCAGTGGCTGCAAAAAAATATGAATATAATAAGAGTAGAATAAGACTCAACCTAACACACGCACACACACACACACACACATACACTCTCTCTCTCTCTCTCTCTCTCTCTCTCTCTCTCTCTCTCTATATATATATATATATATATATATATATATATATATAGGTTTATATATATATATATGATATATATATATATATATATATATATATATATATATATATATATATATATATATATATATATAGGTTTATATGATATATATATATAGGTTTAGATTGTGATAATGAATTTAGGTTATATTTGTGTGCTCAGAATTTACACTCACCTCACACTTCAGCTATTATCAGGTACACCTGAACACCAAAAAATAAAATCTACAGTTAGTGACAATATACAATTAGTTCTCATTAGTAAATGTTAGCACTGCATTAACACCAGTGAGAAATATACAATATGTACTGTGTTAGTGTTAGTTTAAAAGAATACAACTGAATTGTATTATAAGCCTCATTTAATAAAACAGTTAAGACTTGTTTCATAATGAGTTTAGTTAATTTAACTAACTTAACGTTAACGTTACAGTGAACAAAATTAACGTACATGATGGTCACTAACCGTAACGTTAACTTAAGTGAAGGTCAGAGCTTACCTTAACGTTATAGTCATTTCACCTTTACTTCAGTCTTGTACTGAAACAGAAAATGCAGTTAACAAGAAGTTAATTAAAGAAAATTCCCTTTCTTATTTCAGTAACTGACGTTAACGTTATGCTAATAAGTTACCTCAGAAAACACTACAATCACCATCTGGCGTCGTTAATTTCTTGTTTTAAAAAAAGGCGCGCTTAAACCCTGTACGTGCGAGTACAACTAAAGTACTCGGTAAATTCCTGTTAAATGACACGCACTATACAGAAATACACATACAACAATAATTTAACGGACAAAAGTCACATTTTAACACTTACCGAGGATAAATCCGTTGGGTGAAGAGACGACGCAGGCGTTGTCTGTGGTGATAGCGCTTGTTTGCGGTCGAGTCGAGTCAGTTCTGTTCCATGAATCGGCTCCTTTAAGTGAACAGTAAAGAGTCGAATTCGGCTCCTTTAAGTGAACAGTAAAGAGTCGAATTCGCCTGAAAACGATTCCGTTTTGTATAATATTGTAAGACGCAAACATATAATTCATTAATATTTCATCATATTGCTTGGTTCGTGTACTGCTTGTACACGAATTGCTTGTTGATGACTATGAGCTCATGAACACGTCTGATAAAATATCTGAATCTGATTCAATGTCACACGAGTCCTGAACCGAAGCAGTGCAAAAGTAATATATTGATTGAAATATAAAGTTAATTATTTTCTTCGCCATTCAAAATATTACATATCTCTGACTTTAACAATAAGAATAAAGTTCATTTGGAGTGTATTGAGAATTATTATTTTTTCCTCCCAGGATTCATTTCGCACCAAGCTGCATCAAGCTGTATTGGTGGATGAGAAGGCACATAATATTATAAATATTGCTTGTAATATGTAATGAAATAAAGTTTTAACACTTTTTCATGCGAGAATGTAGTTCTTCAAAACTCAAATCTGTGGATTGTTAGTAAAGATTGTGTGTAATTTTAAGTGTGTTTTGCCGGTAGTGGAGATCTATGACCTCCAGGCGGTAACGGCGCTCATTACTCATGTATCCGTCGAGAGGCGCCTGTCTTCAGGCTAGACATTGGGACAATTGTCCCGTCTTCAATGGCTCTATATGCGTCCGAAAATGAAGTTTTAGCTGTTTTTCATGCTAGAATGTAGTTGTTTAAAACTCTAATCTGTGGTTTATTTATATAGATTAAAAAAAAAAATTATATATATATATTTAATTCTGAGATTAGTGACCTCCAGGCGATGACAGGTGACCAATACTAATGAAACCGTCTAAAGCAGACATTTACTCTGACATTGAAATAATTGTTGGCTGTTTAACAGTCTTTGGTTTCATTAATTAATTACTTTTTATTCCAGTTTATTATGTTTTGGCTAAGCACACAGTTGTTCATTAAATATTATTTCCTATTCTATGTTAAATGTATAAAATTAAATAAAGGTGCAGTACAACCAAAAAGATGTTGGTAACCAAATCGTTTTGGGGGCTATAACATTCTGTTATTATCTGTTAAAAGTTAATTTGTATTAATTTCTACGTTGAGTTAAAAAAGGGTTGAATTTCCATAACTAACGTGCAAAAGATATAGCCCTTTTCACAGTAATTTGCTGTAATCATGCTACCTGCCGTAATTTCACAATAAAATTATGAATACAACATATTACTGTGAATTTTTCAGTTAAATACTGTGAAGGGATACTAATGTAATTTACTGTGAAAAATTACAGTAACTTGTTGTGAAAACCTGGAAATTTTTTACAGTGCAGCATGTGTTTGCATTATGTATTATTTTGAGTTCCTTCTGTCAGTGAGTGACTGTCTTAAATGAGCATTGACTCACGTGGATTGAAGTCCTTCTGTGCCGAAGGGCTGTAACAGATACTGGTGGACAGTTTTATTTCGTAAAGTCCCGGCCAGCTTGATTTTCTTCCGTGAGCGATGAAGGTTGATGATATAGATGGTTACGGACCCTCTGACATAATCGTGACTGCAAGGAAGAGGAGAAACTATTAAAATACGCACCGCTTACAAACTCCAGATCTATGAACGCACATCATGTGATCAAGTGTCAATTATGATAGATACTATATTTAAAAGTCTGGGGTCATTAGGGTTCAGTTTTTATTTACCTATTTTTATAATTCAACAAGAGCATATAATACTTCAATAATTCAATATAACTCTTTAATTCTTCAATATAATACTTTTATAATTCAAAAGTGACATTAAAGACATTTAAAATCTTACAAAGTATGTTGCAAAAGACTACTCAATGGAGAACTGCTTCAAACATAATTATAAATATACATTTTTTAAAAATTATTATTAGTTTAACTGACATCAGATCAATATAATTAATGCTGGGTAAAGATTAATCACAGTTAATCACATCCAAAATAAAGTTTTGTTTTGACATCATATGTATGTGTGACATTTATTATGACATTTATTATGTATGTGGCGACGCAGTGGCGCAATAGGTAGTGCTGTGGCCTCACAGCAAGAAGGTTGCTGGCATAATAGTAACATAAAAAATAAAGATTTAATATATTTAATTGCAGGTGAAAATGTAGCTTCGCCAACACAGGAATAAATGTCATTTTTAAAATCTGTTTATATAAAAAAATAGCAATTTTAACTAGTAATACATTAGGCCAGGGGTGTCAAACTCAATTCCTGGATTGCTGAAGCCCTGCACAGTTTAGTTCCAACCCTGCTCCAACACACTTACCTGTAGGTTTCAAACAAGCCTGAAGGACTCAATTAGTTTGATCAGGTGTGTTTAATTAGGGTTGGAACTAAACTGTGCAGAGCTGCAGCCCTTTTGGAACTGAGTTTGACACCTGTGAGCATTAAAGCAGAGACAAACAACCCAAAGAAATCTTTAATACTGCAAACCGGAGCCATCTGAAAGTTTACCATACATTGTTCATGACCATAATCGCCTTGATACTGACAGAAACATTGCGTCTGTTCCCAGAAATCCTTTTACAAGAGACAACGTGTAACATTTTATAGCAGTCCAAACCCAACCGTGATTTAATTTCACTGCACAATAACCGAATTATAAAGCACTGTATATAAGCAAAAGAAGGCCCCAAGACTACGTCATGTAAAAGAGCTGATTGTTTTCATATAGCAACTGTAAAAGCATTAGCTCCCCTCCCAAAAAATTCACAGGGGTAACAAAAAGCTTTACATGTGTGGGAGTCGGACGAGCGTGCTTATGTTATGGTGACTCCTGATTTTTTTCTGTTTTGCGAGGTAAAGAGCAGGCTTTGGGGAATATTAACTGAAGATAAGTATCTGGCCGCATGATTAGACAAACATGATAAAATTCAATAAGGATTTGAACGTAAAAGGCAAGGAAAACATGACTGTAGCGCATGAAAACCACATGTTGGCTTTTGTCAGATGAGTCTGTTAGTAATCTCCACCAATCGCCAGTGACCCGGGACATGTGCATCTTTACACCTTGGCGCACAGCGAATAGAGTTCAAGAGGAAAAAAACGCATAGAGACAAACCCGAGACTGTGTAATGAAAACATCTCCGGTGTCATGTGATACATATGTGGTGTCTCAGCTTTAATAGACTTTGGTAACTCGGGTAGATATTTTCCAGAAGGGTGCGTTAGATCAGACGAGCAGATCGAGAAATGATAAACATTGTCCAAGACTTTGAAACAATGCGCCTCTGCCGGCATTCGCATGGGGAACGTAAACATGGGATCCTTTGTTTGATGTGAGCGAACTGTCCTGGGGAAATGTGGAGTGGAGAAAGCGCTCCGAGCACGGCTGTTTTGTATAAGGGTGTTGTGATGGATTAGTGAAGATACCCGAAGAATATCCATGACTTGTCGGATCGGCCGTTTTAACCACTAATAGATGAAAAACTTGAAAGAGTTCTCGGAGCAATGAGTCTTGAATGTCTGCAAAAAAAAAAAAAAAAAAAAAAAACACCGCCTGGATAATGTCATTGCTGATATTTAATAGCATCATTTTAATATATGATAGTATTGCAGCTGACATGGAATTGAAGCAGATTTTGGTGTAAACCCGAACAATACAAACATAAAAATAAAACAAAACTAAAAAGTATTGTAATAACAATGAAATAACATGAGGATAAAGTGCTGAACTACTGAAACGTTTTTTAATACATTATATAAAAGGCTTTTTTGGTGATGGCAGTTTAACGACGCCTCTCATATGGAAAATGAAGTCACATGCATTGCTAGGGTGTGAGTTTCTCAACAGAGACTTCAACAGAGTGTAAAAATCTCGATGGTTCTGTGGGTCTCGTCTATCAAATCTGATCTTTATTTTGTATTTTATATTGGATTCACATCAGGTGATTGGCTGGGCCATTTTAAAGCTTTATTTTCTTTCTCTAAAAGCATTTGAGAGTTTCTTTGGCTGTGTTTTGGATCATTGTCTTGTTGAAATGTCGACCCTGGTTTCATTTTCATCATCCTGCTAATGTAGATGTTGGACAAAAGCAGCTAATCTTCATTTACAATGACGGAGGGCAAAGGGTTGCTGGAGAACTACTGAGAGATTTAAGCTGCTGTCTGGGCTTTCACTGCCGAACTACAGCTCCCTTTCTTCATGTGTTCAATGCATTTTCCCTGCAACATTTCATTTTATTACACATAACATAATTTGTAAACTAATTAAAATTATTTTCTTTGCATAAATTAATTTCTTTGGTTGTTAACATCTGGAGAAAATTTCAAATCAACAGCATCTTAAGAAATATGCTTTCTGAGAAAAAAAGTGACGTGTTGAATACTTATTTGACCCACTGTATACACTCTCAGAAAAAAATGGTACAATGTTGTACCAAAGAAGGTACAAACACTTGTCACAGGGGCAGTACCTTTTTCTGGAACCAAATTGTACCTTAAGACAAAGAAACAAATTTGTACCATTGCAGTTTGTACATTTAATGACATGATTTGTACTATGGGAAAACAATACAATACAATACAATATTGTTCCTTCATCAAAGGGACAAATCTGATCCATAAAGGTATCATTACAATGACAAGACACTTTGTACCTTAACAGTGTCAAGAACTGTTTAAAGGCATTTTGCTTTATCCAATTTATTTCCAATAAATATAAAACATTTAATACATTTTTAAACAAAGTTTTAAAAAAACAAAACAAGGTAAATACACTTTTTGTGTAAATGCATGCACCTTTTCCATTTACAGTAAATAATAAAAAATACATTAACATCAATCAAAAGATCTATTTTTGCTAAACATTTCAAAACACTTTATACAAAAATGTTACAAATACATTCTATTATATATATATATATATATATATATATATATATATATAATCTAATTCTCACACAATACCTTTGTAATCACTTAATTTAATCACTCAATTTAATTTAAGCTAATTTAATTTCTTTAATTTTAAAATAGAAATAGAATTATGCAAAAGTATTGCAACGAGATATGCTCAGTGTTTGGTTTGTGCCACAATACTAAAATGTCTGCATAAACACTTTGCATATGCAGGACTTTTAGCAGCTCACATGTGCAGTGAAAAGCAAACGCCCAAAGATGCAGATATCAATAATAAAAAAGTATTTATCAGAAAATGCTTAGCAAATGTTTATTAAAAATGCCTTAAATGTTTAGTTTACAATACCTATAGTTTTGTTTTACCAGTTGTTTTGTTTTATAGAACTTAATAATTAATGTTGATGATTGTCTTCAAACATATACATTTAAATGAAGATTCATGTTTAATATGGAAATTATTCATAAATAATACCCACTGTTTGTGAGTAGCACAATCGCCTCACAGCAGGAAGGTCGCTGGTTTGAGCCTCGGCTGTGGCGACCCCAGATTAATAAAGGGACTAATCCGAAAAGCAAATAAATGAATGAATGTATATTTACTGTTTCCATATTAAATGATATTTTTACTTTGTGTGAATGTAATTTTTCTCTTGACCACAATAAATATTTTTGATTTAGGTTAAAATAAATTGTACAGTTTGAACCAAAGTTAAATTATACTTTGAGAAAAATAAACAAATTTCGCTGTAAAAAATTACAGTTGTTTTTAAAGTTGGTTCAAACTGTAAATTTGTTTAGTGCAGTGGACACGCTAAGCTAAAGCAATGCATTTAGTGAAAAAAAACTATAGAGCAGCTGTTTTGGGTTTCATGCCATTTACAGAGATTACTTGTTCGGTTTTCTGGTGGTTTCGGATTGATGGATAAGACATAGTGTGCTGAGATTTTGAATGTGACCCAAAACTCTGTCATCCGCACGCCAACAAGGGGTCAAAAATGGTTTTGTAACTGGATCACAGCAGCCTACTTTCCAATATCTCCCTGTTAAAGAGCCTGAAATCCTCTCAAGTAAAAATCAAGACATTAAAAAGTGCAATTTCAGACATTTTATAAATATATGCAGTTTTAATGCCAGAGCTTTTAATATGCCAAATCCTATAAATACACGTTATTTCCTAAACTGCAGAGTTGGGATTCTACTAACAACATTTACTGGCATTGTCTTCTTGCCAAGGCACTTGAGCAATAACTTTATAGTGCTCTTATTATGCGATCTTAAAAAATCCTAATTTTGTTTCGGAGGTCTTCTACAACAGTTTGTCATGCATTCAAGATTAAAAAAACTCGTTATTTTCTCATCTTACACTAAAATAATCACGTTCTAAAGAGTCTCAAACAATCAGTTTAAAGATTCAATCTTTCTAGGCTCTGCCCTTCTGCTCTAATTGGTCAGATAGGCCAGACTTGCAGCTTATGTCAGAAACAACCCCCATATTCAGATATCTGACTTAAGGGCTTCCTTTATAAAAGAGTCATAAACACATTATAAAGTAAGGATTTAGCTGGTTTTCTATATCAATTTACATCTCTGAAAAACATAAATAAAAATTAGCCCTCCTTACTCTAGCACTAAATTCTCTGAGAACTAACAGTTCTTTTGTAT